CTCCTCCAGTTACTCAGACCTCTTCCCACTTTCCCTCCCACCCTTCTGGCCCTTTTCTGTCTCCCAACTGCACATTTACCCAGCTGACTTTATGACTAGGAGTCGATTTTTATATCAGAAATTTCCCACTCCCCTGTTCTGATGGGAGGAGCTCAAAGCGAGAAATAAGTGAGCATCTGAAATCTTTCTTCTCTTAGACTCAAAGTCCTCTGGCTCACAGCCTCTCAGCCCTGCAGCATCGTGGACGTGGAGGTATAACCCCCATGATGGGGTGGGAGAGCGGGCATTCGTTAACCCCTGAAGCTTTGGGAAGAGCGGGTGGGAGCGGTCACCCCACCTGAGGTCCTGATAGGAAGTATGTGTGCGTTTCAGTTCCTCCCTGTGTACCACCCCAGCCCGGAGGAGAGCAGGGACCCCACCCTCTATGCCAACAATGTCCAGCGGGTTATGGCACAGTGAGTGTTCCACAAAGTATTTCCTAGAGCGGACATATAGGGCAAAGGGACCACAGGTGGAGGGCTGAGGTTTTGAGACAAAGATTGGCTGCTGGACAGCTGAGACTGGGTGGAGGGGGCAATTAAAGGGGCCAAATGTCTTTTCCCTTGTCAGCAGTGAACCCTCACAGGATTCTTCTGCCTCATTCCCCTTCCATCCATCCTCCTTCATCCTACAGGGCCCTGGGCATTCCAGCCACCGAGTGCGAGTTCATAGGGAGCTTGCCCGTGACGGTGGTGGGCCGGCTGAAGGTAGCATTGGAGCCACAGCTCTGGGAACTGGGCAAGGTTCTTCGCAAGGCTGGGTAAGCGACCTTGAAGGTGAGTGAATGGGCCGTGGCAGGTATAGACAGGGAAAAAGAATAAGAAGAAAAGGGAGAAATGGGCAGGAGTAAGGAAAGTCTTAAAGAAAAGCAAAGGTGGGAAGATAGAGTGTTTAAAAAGATAACAGGAAAAGGAAGGAGGAAAAAGAAAGGGAAAGATAATTACCCCAGTGAAAAAGTAAGAATGGCTCTCAAGGGACTATGAGTCAGAGTATTTCTTAGAAAAACACCAGATGTACCTACTCTGGAAAGCTCTTGGGGCTGGGGCCAAAGTCCTGCTGGGTGGTGTCCCCAGAAAGAAACTGAGTCAGCTCTCTGCTTTCAACAATTCCACTGTAGGCTGTCCCCTGGCTATGTGGACACTGGAGCAGAGCCAGGCCGGAGTCGAATGATCAACCAGGATGAGTTTGCCAGGCAACTGCAGCTCTCTGACCCTCAGACCGTGGCGGGTGCCTTTAGCTACTTTCAGAAGGTAAAGGAGCTGGGATGAGGAGCAGAGCTCAGCACTTAAGGATGGTATCCGAGTGGCCATGTCAGTCACATTAGATGGCCAATTTGGAGTCTGTGCTGGATGTTATAACAGCTGTTGTCAGGTGGCCAACTTCTGAGGTTCTCTGGGGAATTCATTTTATTTTAGAGTATCCAGTGCATCGCAGACCAAGGTTTTAATCATTGTGGGTTGGAACAATGGAGAAGTAATTGGTCAGCGAGATCCATAAATTTCCAAAGCTCCTTTAGAGACTGGCAAAGGCGAGGGAGCGCATGACCTTGTGGAGCATTGCATGAGGGTTTCAGAGAAGAGGCACGGTGGGAAGGTGACAGGGAGGGGACAGCGCTGGACAGGTTAGATGGTTAAGAGTTTGAAACGCAGAAGTATTTGCTATATTTGGGCAGATTTTTTTAAATATCCCACGGCGTCTCAGGAATTTCTGAACTTTCTCAAGAATCTGGGCAAACAGCATTATTTCCTGGGACTTTACCAGGTTTTCCTGTAGAATTATAGTAAGATTGTCCCAGAAGATTCTTAATGTTTATGAACAACCACCAGTGGTCCCAAGGAGGTCTTTTTTTGATCTGAGATGCAGACTGTGGCTCTCAACGTCCTCTGAATGGACAGAGTGTGACCAGTTGTGTGCCTGGGGCAGACCGTTCCTGACAGGAGTCTCCCCACTTAGCCCGTGGACGACAGAAACAAAGCCCGAATGCCATGGCTCCCCCCTAGAGTTGGCAGGCATCTTTCTTGGTCTTTTTGTAAAAAATTGGGCCAGTGGCCCCCCTTTAGTCTGTTGGACCAGTTCTCCCACATAGGATGAGTCAGGGGAGAACCGGTATTTCCAGCTTGGGGGCCAGGAATACCCTCAAAGGTAGGTCAGAAACGTAAGGGTAACTTCAGCATTGCTGAGGGATTCCGTCACGTTCCTAGAAGATCCCTTTATAGGAGAGCTTTGCCACCAGGTGACTTGGGGTATAGCTTGAGCAAACCCATGACTGAGAGACCTGTCAGGGGTCCTGGAGAGTTTAGGACTCCAGGTTCTGAGGGGAGCGGACACACCCCCGTGCCTGCTGAGAAGAGGGAGGATGCAGGGTCGGTCCCCAAATCGCCCTCGCTTCTCTTCCTCTCTCCAGGATGCCAACGGTTTGGTGGACTTCCGAGATGTGGCCCTTGCATTGGCAGCTCTGGATGGGGGGACAGGCCTGGAGGAGCTGATTCGCCTGGCCTTTGAGGTACTAGGGGGTTGGGAGGCTAGGGGACATGGTGGCTATGCTCCCTCCACCCAGAAGCCTGTGCGGTGTACTGTTACCAGTCGCTGCTGGATAGTCAGTGCTTGGTGTCCAGCCCAGTGCCACACTGTAAACTGCAGAGCCCCAGTGTCTCTGTGTTGAGGCACAGCTGGGAACAGGGCCAGGGCAGCAGCTGTGAAGTTAGAACGCTCCTGCAGAAGACCCAGGGGGGCAGGGAGGGCCTGTGTTTTGCATTCTTGGAAGAGGAGGAACCTGTCAGGCAGACCTTCGGGAAAGTGTGGGGCGATAGCGTGAGGTGAAGGCTTGACTTGTGTCCCCTTCTCTCCCAGCTGTTTGCGGAGGAGCAAGTGGAGGGGCCCAGCCGCCTGCTGTGCAGAGAGGGCTTCAGCACCATCCTGCACCTGCTGCTGGGGTCACCCCGCCCTGCTACTGAGACTTTGCATGCTGAGCTGTGCCAGGCGGGACCCCACCAAGGCCTCTCCCTCGGTGAGTCACTCTCTTAGCCCACGTGGGCATACAGGGCACCGTCAGCACTGGGCCGGGAGAGAATAAGGGCTGGTGGCCAGTGCCAAGGATCAGAACACCTGAGAGGTGAGAATGGGGGGAATTGGCTGGGAAGGCAGAAAGGCCATAAACTTGGATTTGAGCAGTGAAGCAGGGATGAGGGACAAGACCTCCCAATGATGAGGACCGAGCGGGGCGCCCACTTCCTCTCCTTAGATCGTTTTACTTTCCCGTCTCACTCTTATCTGTCCAGGTCAGTTCCAGGACTTCACCCTCCGTGACCCGATCCACGGGAAGCTCCTCAGCACCTACCTGCGCCCCTCCCAGACACCAAATGCCTCATCCGCAGCCAGCCCCACTGCTCTAGCCAATGGGACTGTGCACTCACCCAAGCAGAAGGGCGACTGAGCGCCTCGACCTCCCCAGCTCGCATCAGCCCTCAGAATCAAGGCAGCGCCAGGGGCCGACCCTGGGCCTCAAGCCCTCTCTGCTCCTGCTTGATTTTTTTTGTTATTGTTGTTTTGGTTTTTTTTAAGTTGATTTTCATTTCTTTGTTTGGGGTTTTTTGTAAAAAACTATTTTATATATAAATATATATCTATATCTATTTAAAATATATGAAGCTCAGTCACATTGATGGTGTCATTAGCTGGGAGGAAAGGGATTAACGGTTGCCGTCTGGCCATTGGACAATCCCGAAGGTTCCCCAGGTCAGTCCTGTTGACCAGAGCTGGGTGAATCCTCACTTCCATTTGGACAGGGTGCTTTTCTGCACAGAAATCCTGCAGTTCTCACATCCTTTCCTCCTGTTGTTATACCCTGTACATGCGCATTTGAACAGGCTTACACGTGAACCTCCTTTCGGTCTATTCCCTCTTGTTCTGTCCTCATTAGAGATTAAAAAATAGCTGACTGCCATTCCATCTTTAATAATCCTACTGAGACTGATGCCTCCTCTCTGCAGCTCAGACCAACCACACAGGAGGGTTTTTCTGCCATGGGTTTGAATTGAGGACATTCAAGTCCCTTCTGTCCAGCCTCTTTTCAAGGAAGAAGAAAACCAGGCCCTCCAAAGAAATGTGCCATGTCTAGACACGATCATGAAATGTTAGATTTAGAAAATTAGATACCTATCCCAGGTTTGGGGTTTTTTTTTTTCTCTTTTTTTGTTATCCTCACCCGAGGACATTTTTCCATTTTTTGTTCAGATAGAGTGGGAGGGAGAGAGAGAAACATCAATGTGAAAGGGACACATCGAGTGGCTGCCACCCACACGACCAACCAGGGCCAGGGACAAACTGCAACCAAAGTACGTGCCCTTAGCAGGAACCGAACCCGGGTCTCTCTGGACCACAGGCCAATACTCTAAGTGCTGAGCCAAACCAGCCAGGGCCCAGGTTTTTTTTTTTAAAGGCATCTTTTCCATACAGACTTTTAAAGGGAGAAAGACAATGACAGGCTGTCCAGAGAAGCCCTCCCAACACCCAAGTCCTGGCCTCTGACGAGGGGAGGGATGAGGTCTCACGGGGGACTTCTCAGTGCTAGGGCTTATCAGGGAGCACGCGTAAGGCTAAAGACTGGGAAGGTATCGATCTATAGAGTCCAAGACCACCCCACCTCTCTCACAGTATCTCACCCCATCTAGGAGCCAAGAAGGGAATACAAATGAGCAGTGAGGGTATTTTCCAACAACAAAAAATCTTTATTCGTTTTTTTCCCATAGAACTCTTTCCAAAGGTACTTCACCCTTACCTCCCACCAAGATACCACCTCCAACCTAGCTGGTGTGACCTCCATCCCCACACTAACCACTCTTGCAGAACTACAAAACAGGACCGAGAACAAGTCTTTGGTTTGTGTGCAGCCGGGGTGAAATCTGCTCAAGGGACCCTGGCTTCAGGGACTGGCAGGAGGACTAGGAAGGTCCTGCTGCTCCCTACTGGGTGCGGCGGCGTTTCTTCCTTCTTCCTGTGCCCAAACTGTCACGCCGCCTTTTACGAGGCTGTGAGGGTCGAGCCAGGGGTTTTTCCCCAGAGACCACAGGTTCAGCTCCCGGGTGGGGCTTCTTTTCAGCAGGGACTGGACCTGCAACTAGAGCTCGTTTCCTAGGCTTGGCAACAGGGTATGGAGGATGGCCAGAGCCTCTTGCCTCCGCAGAGAGGGAGCGAGATGGTCTCTGGACCCCCTGACCTCCTGGAGAGGACAGGCCTGAAGCAGGGTGAGGACCCAGAGGAGGACGCCTTGGCGACAGGCTCAGTTTAGAGGCCAAGAGGTAGGCAAAGCAAGAGAGTTCCTCATCCTCCTCCTCTTCCTCCTCCCCCCCTCTGGGCCCATCTGCTGTGCTGCATGTTTCACTAACGGGAGAGGCTTCTTTCAGAACTGAGGCCGCCCTGGTTCCCCATCTAGGGGAAGTTCTCCCAAGGACCCGGGGAGGAGATGTTGGTTTGGGGGGCCCGGGTACATAAGACTCTTGATTCCCTGGTAAGGGAGCAAAGTGTTTAGGATTCAACAAATCAGTGTCCTCCCTGCCCTCTCCTTGAGGGTGACAGGAATTAGAATTTAGTAGGCAGGTATCCTCACTGACCCCGTACTGGAGGCCACAGCCATCTCTAACATCTAGTATGTTGCTGTAATCTATGGTTTCCAACAGAGAAATGGAACTGCCTCTGTTCCCGGTTTCGGCCTCGGGGAAGGAGGCGGCGTCCCGGGTCCCCAAGATAAGGGTATTGCCTTGACAAGCAGGCAGGAGGGTTGCTTTGGAAACCAGCGTGGAGGCATCAAGACTGCCTTCCAGCAACGGAGGACAGTCTTCAGCCCACAGATCACTGGGATCCTGTATGGTCTCAAGACTCTGTTCTCTATTTTTTTTAGGCCTCAAGGCCACACTGTAGTTTCTCTTTTCTAGGGCACCTGTGCCTCCGCAGGGAACCTCACTGCTCCCCACACCCCCAGGTGCTGTGGTTTCTCCAGGACCCAGAGAAATGTTGCTTCTGGAGCCCAGTGCCTGGCCGCCTCCCTGGTGCTCAGATACACATTCCCCACCATGGAAGTTCCCTGTGACCTCATTTTGTAAGGGCAACTCTAAGCCTAGGGCATCCATCTCCCTGCTGAGCCAAAGTCCTGGACTGAAAGCGGCCCCACCCTCGTCCTTGTCCCCAGCTGCTCTAGGGGAAGGGCTCTGCTCATAACTCTGAACCATAGGGGGCCCTCTGTCATCTCCCCACATGGCTCCCAAGGAGTTTTCCTGGGACACTGCTAACAGTGCCTTCCCTTGAGGCAGCACCCCAACACCCCCTATCTGTTGTCCTGTCTGCAACCCCAGGACCTGCTTTGCTAACCCCTGTCCTTGCAGAGGAGCTGGCTCTGTGAGTGCAGCATCCAAACCGGGGACTATCTCCAGCGGGGGGTCTTCCTGCCAGCAAAGGGCCAGAGCCTTGGAAGTCCCATCAGCCACCAGGGAGTGCCCAGGGGACCCAGCACCTCCCCGGTAGTCATCTTGAGGTGGGGGTAGCTGGTTTGTAATCTTCCCTGGCCCTCTTCTCTCTGTACCTAAGGGCCCTCGAGTTCCCTGCGGAGCTGCAAGTTCAGTGTGCAAGTCCCAGCTGCTGGGGGATGGCAGGGTGTTCCCATCCCTGCACATGCCCCGCGGGCCATCTAGGGGCCGTTCCTGCCTGCCACGCACTTCTCTGGCCCACTTTCCTGGAGAAGCAGCCTTCCCAAGGCAAGCAGTGCCCCCAGCCACCCGAAGCCCAGGTGAGGGCCGAAGCCGCCCACCCCCATCTTCATCCTCATCGGAAACAGGACTTGAGTCCAGTTGAGCTCCAGTGCAGCTTGGAGCTGCCTCCGCATCCTCTTCCTCCTCCAAAGCCAGGAGTCGCTTCTGGACCAGCTGGAAGGAGAATGGACAAATAGCCTGCTGCACGTGGTTGTGGGGAGGGGTGGCTCAGTGGCTGGGCAGGGCAGAGGATGCAAGCCAGTGGCTTAAGTGACAGTATTAAAGACAGATACCATAGGTCTTTTCTGCCTTCTTGGGCCTTGCCTTATTCCCATGCTTTGGGCTCTTACACTTCCCTTTTCCTGTGTGTCCACAGTCCCTGACCCACTGCTCAGTACCTGCGGCCCAATCCCGAAGCCGTTCATCTCAGGGGTCATACCATCCAAGACAATGCAAGGTTAGCTACATCATGTGAGCTTCCTGTTCTGATATTCCCTACCCTTCAGGTTTACCTGGGCAAGACTGAGTCTTTCTTCTTGCTCCAGCTCCTCCATTAAGGCTAAGGGGTCCCTCTGTTGTTCTGGGGACAATAGATCTGCCAGAAATTGAGGATGAATGACAGCCTCCACCTGAGCAACAGAAGGAAAAGTGATATGAGTCTGACAGGAGGTAACTTGTGAGCCAAGAAGCTCTAGAGAAGCCATAAGTGTAGCCCCCGCCCTCCCCTTGACCTCCAGCTGCTACATACATTCACACGTGTACATACGTGCACACACAATGCTCAGTACGGAATACAGCCCAGTTTCTAACTGCCTCGGGCAGAACCCTAGATCTTTGGTTCCCTGGAGTTCTCCCCCCAGGATCTGCTAGAAACCAAACATCCAGGCCCAGCCCACCTTGGAGACAAAGACCTCGTGAGAACACAGCTCATCCATGTAGCTCAGGAGATCTGGGTCTGGATACATCCCTTCCTCCTGCTGCAGCTCTTCCTCTTCCTGTCTTCCATCTGCCTCTCCCGTGGCCAAGTGACTCCCCACCAGCCCTTCCATGATGTCAGTATACTCTTTCACGGCTTCGGGTGGGATTTCCCTGGGGGCCTCCGGAACTGGAGGCCGGGCTTTGCGCTGCCGCCGGCGAGGAGCCCGTGCCCTGGAGGCCGCCTTCTTGGGAATGTACACTAAGGAAGAAGATGGAAAGGGGCACAGACTACAGCGTCTGCCTCTCAACCCCAGGCAAGAATACATGGCTCCAGCTGGATCAAGCCACCCTGCAAAGTCCCAGCCATAGGGTAAGACTGAGGAGCTGGAGGGTCTGAGAGAGAATCACCATATGAAGAACCTTGGAACCCCTGACATTCCGAGAAGTCCCCTGATCCAGCCCCCATTTCTTAGGCAAATGAGGTAGTATGGGCTCTTACAGCCTCGGTGAGAGTATCTTTGGTTTACTCGGCCAAGATCAATACCTAGTTTGGGACCAAGGGAACCTGAGAACCCAGACTCCTATATTTGCCCTGTTTGGAATATCAAATGCCATTCCCTGGAGGAAAAGTGGCAGAAGCAAGGGCAATGCCTTGCGGAACCCATGACTGGTGTCTTATGCCTCCCTCTGAGCCTCTGGTGTAGGGGTCCTGTTAGAACTGGGTGGTAGCCTTACCTGGCTGCTGGCAAACCTCAGGGGCCCGGGGCCCTGGAGGATCCAGTTTCAGAGGGGCTGCAGGAGGCAGGCCCTGGGACCCATTCATCAGCTGCCTGTTCTGATTCTGCATCTCCTCCTCGGCCTCAAACTCCATGAACCTGCAGAGGGGGGAGAAGGCCCGGCAGTGCTGAGGCCAGACACATCGGGAACCCAGACGCCAGGAGGGGTGCTCAGAGATGACCAGGTCACAATTCTGAGGAAACCTCACAAGGTCGCCACGTAGTCCCTTCACCTGCCGACGTCACTTAGGAAGCTTGTTAAGGAAAATGAACAATGTAGAGCTTGTACGCTTCTGCAGGACACAGCCACGGCTCTCACTTCTTTCTCATGCCCTATCTCGTGCAGCATCTCTGGGGGCGCAGAGCAACCACGGATACAGACTTACTGGTTTCAGTCAGGCCTGCGGTGGGATCCCATGAGCCGGCCCCTCCTCAAGGCCGCATCTGTCCCTACCTACAAACATCGAAAACAGCTGAAATCCTGAAACAGGGCCTGGGGTTGCAATTCAGGGCAGTTCCCACCAGGAGACAGTGCTGAGAGCCAGGAGTCCTGAGGCTGGGACTCAGCCCTGGAAGGGTGAATATAGGAGGTATGGGTTCAGAAGATTTGGGGGAGAAAGTGGAAGCTAAACATGGAGGAAAGGGTCCATTTTCCTCAGAGTTATTTTTTTAACTGAGGAGACTATTGTGGAGAAATGGTGGGTTGTAAGGCAGGAGACCACTCTGGGCATCCAGGACCCTGGCTTCCCCTGACCAACCTCTTCAAGAACCAGCCCCTCGCCCTGGCCGATGTGGCTTAGTGTTTTGAACATTGGCCTGAGGACCAAGGAGTCACGGGTTCGATTCCTGGTCAAGGGCATACACCTGGCAAGCAGGTTCGATCTCTGGACCTAGTCTGGGTCGTGCGGGAGGCAACCGGTCAACATGTCTCTCTCACATCAATGTTTCTCGCTCTTTCTCTTCTCTCTCTCTCCCTCCCTCCCACTCTATCGAAAAATATGCTCGGGTAAGGATTGACCAAAAACAAAAAAGAACTAGCCCCCTGCTCCTTGACAAGGCTGAGAAGGGGCCTTCCTGCTGCATGCCCTGCCCTGCCCTCTGGGTGGGGTAGAGTCGTGATTGGTAGTGAGCCTTCCTCTTCTGTATATAGATTGAGCCAGTTTGTGCTCAGGAAAACCTAGTCATAGTTGTTGCTCTTGTCTGTGACATTTTTGTACAGTGGTTTGCTACTGAGTGGCACGAAACAAAGCAAGTCATTTTAAGGAAAGCTCTTGTTTTGGAAACTGGCTTTCTTTTGGTATCCGTTTTGTATTATATTTTAAAGAATTCTTCATTTTATGTTAGTGTTATTGTGGTGGAGAGAATGAGATAGTCTGATCTGTAATTATTTCCGCCAGGAATTTGGCAAATGCCTTTGTCCCTCTTACCACTCCCCTCCCCACATCCTTCCTCATTCCCAAGACAGATTGCAACGCACTATGGCTCCCTTTAGGACAGTCTTTATAATCGCCCCTCAACAGCGGCAGGGTGAGTATTTTTGCCAAGCTGGTTCTTGGGCGCTCTGTGCCCCCACCAGTTTCCTCACCTCTTGGGGCATTTTGTAATGTTTCCCCTGTTTTCTATAACCTTTCGATTGTACCAAAATGGTTTCTGCAGTCACCTCTGGAAATAAATGGTCATTAATTTGTGTACTTAGCATTGTATGAATTTTAGTCTTAGGGGTTTTGTTGTTGAAGATCCCAAAAGTAACCCTCATCGTGGGACTTACTGTTAGAATGTTTTCTTCATTTACTGTTATTAAAATATTTATGAGGAAAAAAAAAAAAGAACTAGCCCCTTCCTGGGATGACAGGGGTAACCGATTTCTGTGCCACTATTTCCAGAGGAGGGGTGGTCCCACGGTCGGTGTCAGTAGACAGTTTGCTACCTGGCCAGTGAGATAGTAAGAAATCTGTCTAGTACTAGATCCCTTCAGCATGACATTTTTATACCGAATGAGCTCCAATCCCATCCTAAGAGCTTCAATATCAAGGCCCTTATATAATGCAAGATCTAGAAAAAGGGGAGCTTTCAAGAGGACAGAAAAACTCAAGAGTCAAGGTGGTAGAAGAAGCAACAAGGATCCAAGAGACCCTATGCTAGTCCACACCCCTCCTCCTAGCATCCCTTTTCTTAGTTTTGTTTTTTATCCTCACCTGAGGACATTTTTGCATTTATCTTCAGATAGAGCGGGAGGGAGAGAGGGAGGAAGAGAGAGAGAGAAACATCGATGTGAGAGACACACATCGACTGGTTGCCACCCACACGACCCCAAACGGGGTCGGGGACAAACTGCAACCGAGGTACGTGCCCTTAGCGAGAACCGAAACCGAACCCGGGACTCTCTGGTCTGCAGGCCGAGGCTCTAACTGCTGAGCCAAACCAGCCAGGGCCTACCATCCCTTTTTACAATCACCCACACACCCAGACTCCAGCCTCTGTCACCTCCCCCTGCCCTCCCAGCCATGCCGCCCCTCATCAGGAGGATGAGAGTTCCACAGACTCACTTTTCTGCCATCTCATAGAAGATCATCCGGTCAAAGTTGCTGGTGCGATCCCACTCCTGCACCGCCCGTGGCAGCCCCTCCTCCAGGGTCAGAGTGGGCTTCAGCCGGGCCAGGGAACGAAGCACGGGGCTAACGCCCCCATTGGGTCAGTCACAGTTTATAAGCATGCCCCCCCAACTCACCTGTCCTGACACCATCCTAACACACACACCAGCCCCTCATCAGGTCTAACGTGCCCCTCACTCCCCAATTTGTCCCACTTGACGGGCCTTCCAGACACCACCCCATCCATTCATTGGCCAGCCTGGCGTTTCTGCCCACTGAAATGTATAAATCTCACACAAAACCAAACATGACTCTTCTCTCCATCTTTTGAAATCAACCACCTTTAATTCTCACAGTGCTTTCCTTAACTAAACTTCCGGAAGAAAGCATTCCTGTTATTAAATTAATGGGTTTCATTGTAAAGCAGGCTTAACTCTGCCCAAAAGGATCTTGCATTTTAAAAAAGGCACTCACTAACCCAAATGAATCTCTAATTGAAGATAATGTGGTGTTTTTATTTGTTGGTTTATAAGTGTGGGTTTTTTGTTTTGGTTTTTTTTTTGCCTCCGGGATACCCTGCACAGTTAAATATCAATACCATTTAAGCTGTCTGGGATTCATTTCTGCCTCCCTGAAATGAGTCTTCAAGCATGAGTGTGTCTAGGATCACCTGGTGAAGCTTGTTATAAATATGGATCCCAGTCCCCAAGAGTCCAGAACTGAGAGCATTTACCAGCTTCCCAGGTGCCTGTTGCAGAGGGCCTGGACTGCACTTTGTGGGGGCGCCTGCCTAGAGGCCTCGAGTGTGGACAGCAGAGGGCCAGGACCAACAACAGTGCTGGCTCAAAACAGAAATTCAGCCTGCCTGGCTCCAAGAGAGACTCAGAACTGTCTGAAGAAAGCAGGTAAGATGGTCAATACTTCATCATTTGGGGGAGCCCCTTGGTTTAGTCACTCCAGAGTCAGAGTGGAAATGGAGATTCCTTTAAGAGCCAGCCACTGGAGGACCAACAAGTACGTTTTCTGTGTTTTGTTTAACCCAGTAAAATGTAGTATGTGTTACACAGTGGTTTACACAAAATGTTGAGAGGGTACAGGGCAGTGGAGAGAGGCAGCAGGTCTGGGTAGGAAAAAAAGAAAACTGCCCCCCTGGCCAATGATGCTGTTTTATAAACACAAGAGACAGCCCATGACCCTGGGCTCCTTGGCTAAGCATCCACGCATACTCTTCAACCAAAATTTCTGGCCTTTTGTGAATTCTTTGTCTCTTCTAGATTGCCTTTTTATAACAACAACAGGAACAACAATAGCAGCTACCATTTCGTGAAGCATTCTCTGTGCCAGGCCCTCCACTAAACACTTCACATATATTAACTCATTTCGCTTCTCAGCAACACTCTGAAGTCTTAGGCATAATTATCCCCTTTCTAGATGAGAAAAATGAAGGCAAAGATATGAAGTGTTGCGCCAAGGATCACAAATCTAGGGAGCAGCGGAGCCTAGGCCCTCGACCACTAAGCAATCTCTACCACCTGCCCATTTCAACTTGAATTCCCCTGAATAAAATAGGGGTGGTGGAGGGGGACACTCAGAAGGTCCTTTACCTGGCCCCACCCTGTCCTCCACTCCCACAGGAATGAGTCAGGGCCCAGCACTCGTCCTGGCAGGTTTGGACAGCTCAACTCAATGTCCGAAGGTATTAAAATAGAACCAGAGGACCGTGGCACTTGGTGTCAGAGACCTATGTTCCAATCACCTCTCTGCGCTTTACGCCAGGAAACCTCTCTGAGCTAGCCTTCTCATCTCTGAGGATTACCATAACAATGCTTGCCTGAACTCAGAGTTGTGAGCATCACTTGAGAGAAGACACCTAAAGGCTTGTTATATTATTATCATAATCATCATGCTTTTTGTCCTCATAGCATCTCCAATCACCCTCATGACCTACCCTCCCAGGCCTAACCTCTGTTGTCCATCCCAAAGCCCTTCTTAATGAAAAGCCCTAGAATAATTAATCCCAGGTCTCCCCACTTACATAAGAAAGCAAGAAAGAGCTTCTGCATCAGGACTTTGGGATAAGTGCCTCCGGGCCAAGGCTTTGTAGCGCTGCCAGCGTCGGAAGTTCTCATAAACACCCTTGGAAGTATAGGAGAGGTCCCCGGGTGACGGCTTGGACTGGGCCACTGGCAGGCCTCTTTCTCCTCCGGTTGCTCCATGTGGCCCTGGCCAAGCCTTTTCCAGAGGCACGATGGGGGCCAGTTGGGCAGCTGGTGCCGGAACCTGAGCAGGAAGGCCGGGGAGGCTCTCCTGGCTCACCCCAACAGCCTCAGTGGGCAGAAGGGTCTTCAAGTTAGAGGCAGTCACAAATTGAGGGGAAGGGCCTTCGGGGCCCCCGCAGGGAGCACCTGAGGCAATCCAATTGTGGGCAGTCTGAGTAAGGATCAAGTTCTGAGTTTGAGAGGGCTCAGCTGCCCTCACTTCTGTCTTGACTTTGAAAATGATCTTGCCAGCTTCAGTCCCACCATGGCCAGGGCCCCCCTCCCCTGTCACCAACAATGGATTGGGGAAAGCAGAGAGCATCAGAGGGTTTCCTGGAGAGAAAGCTGAAGGCATGGGGGGCTGTGGAGACAGATCCCAGGGTGGTAGTTCTGGTGGGCCAGGAGCAGATGGGGGAATGGGAAGTGCGGTGAAAGGAGACAAGGCAGTGCCAGGTTTCATGGTCATATCTGGTCCAGGCAATGGAGATGCTGTTGAGACAAAGGAAAAGAGGGAATGGGCCCAGCCAGTGTGGCTCAGTGGACTGAGGTCGTCCCATGGACCGAGAGGTCTTGGTTCCATTCCCGGTCAGGGCACATGCCCGGGTTGCAGGCTCAATCCCCACTAGGGGGCGTGCAGGAGGCAGCCTGTTGATGTTTCTCTCTAACATTGATGTTTCTATCTCTCTCTTCCTCTCTCTAAAAATAAAAATAAAATAAAAACATATTTTAGCCCTAGCCAGTTTGGCTCACCGTTTAAGAGCGTTGGCCTGCGGATCAGAGAGTCACGAGTTCGGTTCCCACTAAGGGCACATACCTTAGTTGTGGCTTGTCCCCCGCCCCGGTTGGGGTAATATGTGGGTGGCAACCAGTTGATGTGTCTCTCTCACATTGATGTTTCTCTCTCTTCCTCCCTTTCTCTCTCCCACTCTATCTGAGCATAAATGCAAATAATAATAATAATAATAATAATAATAAAATAAAATGTCTTCGGGTGAGGATAAGAAAACAAAAACATTTTCTAAAAAAGAGGGAATGGGCCCTGGCCAGTTTTACTCAGTGGTTAGAGCATTGGCCTGCGGTCCAGAGAGACCTGGGTTTGGTTCCCGCTAAGGGCATGTACCTCGGTTGCAGTTTGTCCCCAGCCCTGGTTGGGTCGTGCAGGTGGCAGCCACTCGATGTGTCCCTTTCACGTCGATGTTTCTCTCTCTCTCTCTCTTCCTCTCTCTCCCTCCCACTCTATCTGAACAAAATATGGAAAAATGTCCTCGGATGAGGATAAAAAAAAAAAAAAAAGAAGGAATGGAATAGGACAAAAGCAGACCAGAAAGTAAGTTGAGTTTCACTTTAGTCCTTGAAGGATCAGAGCTCTGATTCTCAACAGGTGAGGAAGGGTATATAGAAGGGGAACTTGTGTAGTTTGCAAATGTCCCCCAAGTGATTTTGATGTCCCTTACTCCCAGATAAAAATTATTGTACTTGAGAAGTTGCAATGAACCTTGGCCCCAAGACCTCATGCTCCAAAACACATCCTACCCAGCATACAGGTACACCTCTTATTCCGACATATTCCAAATCCATTCAAATCACCTGAACCCTGCTTTCAGCTGCCTGGCGGTCCCTGCCACCGTTCACAGAACATTGTTCCAGAAGAGGGGGTGTGGATTAAATGTTTGGCTTTCAGAAATTTTGTTATATAATAGCCAGGAATGACCAGAGATAAGGGCCAGGAAATGAGTGAGGGTGGGGCTGTGTAGGAAGGGAGTTTACCAGAGCCTTAAGCAGCTACCGCGCATGTTAAAATCTGGTGATGCAGACTATGTATGATTCTGCTTGGGGCTGCTGTCAGAAATTTAGGATCCACCAAGAACAAGGCATCTGAAATAATCCCTGCTAAGGAGGAGTTATGTGAGCTCTAGTCAAAGAGACCAAGGATAAATACATAAAATGTTACTTAATGAATCAGGACATGTGTCTCCAAGCCTTTTTATAAAATAATAGATCATCTGCCTAATTTCATGCTACTCTCCTCCCCACTTATAAAGAATATTCCACTGGCAAGCTAACAACACTCAGCTTCTGCTTCCTGACAGTGGAGGAGACAGGGAATGGGAGCAAACTCATCTCAGCCACAGGGCAGAGGGCCAGGTGTTTGGACACAGTGAGATGGGTCTGAAGGCGTAAGTTCCACAAAAGGTAGAAAACACTGAGGGCGTCTCAGGGAAATCCCAGTTCTCATCCTGCCTGGAGTGACCTACCTCCTCCAGAAGGAGCCATGAGACTGAGCAGAGGCACTTATAGTACCGTCCAGTCTAGCTTTCAGGAGGACATTTCTCTATAGACTTAGCAACAGATAATTCCACTGAACAGCTTTTCTAGCTAAGGCCTCCACCCCACTCTACCCCTCAATACACCGAGAGTGGCCCCAGCTCAATTCTCTCATGGCAAAGTTCTAGATCAGTTACGTAAAGGAGACACAGGAACATGAGTCTTCCCCTTGAGCTGTCTCTGTGCCACACATAGCACACATACCCGTCCCTGCCACACAAACACATTGGAGGGCTCCCTCTTCCCTAGTAGCAAGTTGCTAAGTGCCATCCCTTCTCTATACCACAGCACTCTTCTCTGAGGTGCTTTGACCTACCACCCAGAGGCCTTCTTCCTTCCCCAGCTCCCAGTCTTAATGGCAGTCTCCTTCCCCAGCCTCCCCAAGTGTGATGCCTTTGGTGGGGTCTAGTGCTCTCACATTCCTCTAGGTCAGTCCAAAGTGTTCATCCCCAGGTAAAGTATCAAATTTGAATCTCCAAGGACCCTCCCCACCACCTGCAGACTTACCTCCATTTGAAGTCATCCTCTCAGGTTTGGGCACTACCCGTGGCTGTCTGGAAGCCTCCAGAATGAGAAAGTTGGGTCCAGGACCCAGAGAGTAACCTGGCTCCAGTAGATATACACAAGGATCCAAGGAGGGAAGGGTAAAGATCAGATCAAAACAGAACTAGAATCTAGGACTCAAGGCATTCTACAGTGGGGGAGGGGAGAGAGGAATGGGGAGTGCGAGTAGGAAATATTTCACAAGGGGCTCTGGTAAATTGGCAGTAACTAGGAATTTCCTCCAAACCAGATTATGGCAACACAATTGCTGTGTACCTCTTTAGGACAATTTGTAAATTCTTTCTCAGATTCCCAACATTATAATTTACATCCCCATTGCCTATATAATTAATTCTTCATCAATATATTTAGTTTTATGCCCTTTAATCCCACCCAGTTCTGTAATTGACTTCCTATTAATAGCAGGTTGTGGCAGACCCTTGATTTAATTCAGTGTTGGCTATATTTTCTGAACCACCTCAGATCACATTCCACAGGGAATGGAATATCTGAATTTAGAATGATCTGGAAAGATCCAGAGTGTTTGGCTGCTGTATGTGTATCATTTCCTTGGGAAGCTATCCTGCAGTTCCCAAACAGTCCACTAGCATCAGTTCTGCAGCCCACAGAGGGCTCAGCCTTGCTTAACCCTTGGCTGAAAAGCTCCACGCTATCAAAAACTGGCATTCAGCCTCAAATATCAAGACCAAAAAGTCCTTTTGTCTGTTAAGTTATTTTTGTTGTTTAAAAATTTTGTTAAATAATTTAATTATTTTTCTTATTTACATTTTTTATTGTTGACACTATTGCAGATGTCCCCTATGTCCTCCCCTCTTTGCCCACCTCCACCCAGTACCCTCCCTTCTTGGCCTTCATCACACTATTGTCTGTGTCCATGGGCTATGCATATATGTTCTTTGTTTTGTATCGTTGACAGTATTATAGAAGTACCTATTTCCCCCTTCCCCTTAGTGTTCCTCCCCACCCCCACCCCAGGCTTTCCACACTATTGGTTCTAAAGTAAAAGTATGTAAAACAGCATATAGCAGTCTCCTTCCCACTCCTTTCCTCTGGAACCCGAGTTATTTGTCCCAAAGGAAACCAATATTATGTTTCTTATGAATCCTTGCAGAGATATTTTATGCACTACAACTAAGTACATCTGTATTATTACATTTATATTCTTTAAAAAAAAGAGATATCAAGTTTTTCTGGTTATAACATTAATATATGTTCCAATGTTTTTCCTTATAAATAAAACTGCATCGATCATATTTGTAATGTTACCTGAGTTCCAATTTTCATTTCTTTAAACAAGAATTCTACACTTGGAAGAATTTCTACGTTCTTTAAAATATCCGAGATACCCCTAAGAGGTAGATCTTATTGTGCTATTATTAGGTACTCACCACTGTAAGAAAGAGCGCTGAATCTGTGGTAGAGACCTGAGTTTAATCTTGGTTCGACCACTAAAACATACTTCACCAGGTTCATGAAATAACTACATCTCTCTTTGCTGTACATAATACTGAATGAATACCCGTCATGCACTCTTTTACCGCCAATACTTTAAAATAGGGCTGGGGAACCAGTTGTAGAAGAGGGGAGGAAAGAAAACTTTCTTTCTTCCCTAAGGTAAAGGGGCTCTGAATCCTGGAGCCATTTGTTTTTCCAGGCACTAAAAACCCACTGCCCTTGAAATGGGTGTGCATCTTGAGATAAAGACAGGATTCTATTCACTAATGTTCAACCCAAATCCATCTCTGTCCCCCTGTAATGCCTAACAGTGTCTGGTACTGGTGTCTGGGCACATTCCCCATGTCTTAAAAAGCCTACAAGGTTGCAACTGGTCTCCAATGCCTGCAAAATTGCAACTTGGTTGCAACTGGGCCAAGTCCTGCACTACTGCGCCGCCTTCTGCCTAGCTGGAGAAAGGCCCGCAATGGACTACATTTCCCGGCATGCCTTGAGAGGGTTTCCGGTCACGCCGGAAGGAAGTTGACAAATACGTGAGGCCGTCAGTTAGACTGAGCTGCGGATTTGGACCTCCTGCATCAGCGTGACCATGTTTCTCCAGTATTACCTCAATGAACAGGGAGACCGGGTCTATACCCTGAAGGTGAGCAGAGGGAACAGGTGGTACATGGGCATGTGGAGAATGGTAGGTGGGAGGAGAGGTTGAGACCAGCGACTGAGTTGCCTCGCTGGGTGAGGGGAACCAGAAAGCCCAGAAGCCCGGCGTGGTGGAAGCTGGAAGGTATTGGCTTCCTGCTTACCCTTTTTCTCGCGTCCTCCTCCCCATCCCAACTTCCACGTCCCTTATGACGCCAGTGATTGAGTTTTCTCACCCCTCCTGTACTGAGATTATGTCCTCTCTTTCTTCCTGGAGCAGAAGTTTAATCCTATGGGACAACAGACCTGTTCAGCCCATCCTGCTCGGTTCTCGCCAGACGACAAATACTCTAGACACCGAATCACCATCAAGAAACGTTTCAAGGTGCTGATGACCCAGCAACCGCGCCCTGTACTCTGAGGGTCCCTTAAAGTTCATATTTCTCCTGCCACCTGCTACCCCGCTGAGACTTTCCGAAACCAAGCTTTTCAGTTTGTGAGCCTGGAAGCCTTCTTACCACCCTTGCTCTTTGGAATCCGGTGTCATCATTACCTTTGATCATGCTTGGTGCGAAGCAATCATGGTAGCATCATCCACCTTAAAGGAAACAAGTTTGAGTCTTCTTTTCATATTTGGACTCACTGCCAGGTTATTAAAATGATTTGAAAGAGCTCTTATTTTACATTTTGTGAGAAGAAAAGAGTGGTTTGGGGGGGGGGGACGAGGAGATGAGAGGGAAGTGTAACCCAGGGGTACAACAAAGGGTACACTTGGAAGAAAATCGTACGTAACTGCTGTAGCAGGAGTAGTGCTGCACTGTTAGTGATAGGAAGGTGTTGGGGAAGGGAATGAAGGTTGAAAACGATTCACATAATTTTTGGCATTCACCGAAAAATAGCCCTCTGGTCATGTAAGTAATTTCTTGCCCCTTGACATGACATTTTGATTCAAAATGGAAGAGTTGACAAATAATGACCATATTGTAGATGGAAGACGGTGAATTGGAAGTCAGGAGACCAGGATTCTGCCCTCTTGGAATAACTTTAAGAAAATCACTTACCTATTTAGTCCCACTTTCATCTCTAAGCAAGTTCTCTCCCAACTCTAAAACTGATTGGGTTCAGTGGTGGACCTTAATATATCTAGTGTTGTCCAACCGTTGTGACTAGGCTGCATATTTTCTGCCCCTCTGGTAATAGTCCCAGGCTTTTAGTTCTCTTCATCAAGGAATTGCTCTCTTATATACACCTAACTTAATATTCTCTCTGGAAGTAGCTGCTATGTGGAACTACATAGATCTTAATTTAAAAGATGAAATATGAGAAATTCAAGCAGGGATTTTGTTGTTTTTCAAGCTACTGTTAGGGATTAATAACCAAAAAAATGGGAGATTTCCGAGTTTTGGAATGACCGTCATGGGGCAGCTATAACTTGAATCCAATTACTTTATGTTAGAGGAAAGATGAGACAAAATACTGCATATGGGCATTCAAAAAAATACTAGTTTGCTTTTTTTCTACCTCTCTGTCAAGTTAATCCACTCATTTCCCAATCTCATTTGTGGCTTTTGGCATTGGATTTAAATGGTTACTTAGCCCTGGCCAGTTCAGCTCAGCAGTTTGAGTGTCAGCCTGCGGACCAGAGAGTCCGGGTTCGGTTCCTGCTAGGGGAATATACCAAAAAAAAAAAAAAGTCTGCTTAATGCCACAGACTTAAAATTTGCTTTGTGAAGATTGTGTTCTAATTATACAATATTTTTCTATTGTATCAAAATTCTAGAGTCCAGAAGCAGATGTAACTTAAATCAGTGTTAATTTGACTTATTAAGACTGGCTCTGAAAAGAGATAGATATCTTTCTCTTGGAATCTTGAGCATGCTAGCAAAAAAGTTCAGGATAATTGTTGACTGATGAGAAAAAATTATCTAATCTTGGTTCATAGTTAATGGAAGACATGATTTTCAAATCAGTTACTTTAACTTACAGGAATAGTGAAATGAAATACTTGCTTCCTGTTGAACAATTTTTTATTTCTTAGCCTATTCACTTACAGGGTTCTTAGCAATGGATCTGACAGATTTTATATATAAGTGAATGAGTATACTCTGTGGTATAAAACAAAATTGGATGTTGTAGAACTCCAGCATTTCTTTATAAAGGGAAAGTCTCAGATTTGAATGGCTAGGTCTGCCTGAGAAAAAACTGGTACCTCAGGGAGGTCAATTTCTTCTTCAGGTTAGAATCAATAGGAAAAAGCTTTACAAAAGCATCTAGCTTTGAGGAGGTTTACATTTTAAGTGGAATGTTTTTCATTTTGTTACCTGGATCTTTTTAGTCAGACTTTGGATTTATCACTTGATAAAGGGGAATTTCCTGGCTCAGGTCTTAAATACAGTTTTGATCTGTTGCTAAGGATGATACTTAAACATTTCCACTTGTATAGAGCAAGTACACAGGCAAAACCGGGGCCCAGAATGTTAAATGTCTTGATCAAAGCTATAGTAAATAACTTTCAAACAAAATACTGCTGAACCAAAATATACTGAACACCTCTATTTGTGCATTAAATAAACATGCTAAGAACAACATTCTGGTGGCAGTAGGAGGGAAAATACTGGGAATGTAGTCAAGAGAAAATATATTTTTCAGGTCTAAAATTAAAGACATTTTTGTTAATGGAATGTTCAATCTGACTAGAATGTGAACATAGCTTATTTTTTTCAGCTTTATTGAAGTGTAATTGACAAACTACATTTTAAGGTGAACAACACGATTTAATAGATGCATACATTGTCAAAGACATAGCATAAGGGACAGGAAAAGGGGAAAATGTAACACAAAGTGCATCAATTCAAGGATACAATGCAGTGATTTTCAACCTTTTTTATCTCATGGCACACACAAACTAATTACTAAAATTCTGTGGCACACTAAAAAATATATTTTTTACCAATCTGACACAAAAAATAGGTAAAATTTTGATTCATTCTTACCAGATGGTTATTGTGTTGGCTGATGTCATTTTTTTATTGGACAATCTAAGGGGAAAGAGGTCAGTGCCCCTGATAAAAGAGTAAAGTATTGCATGTTTTAAAAATTCTTGCGGCACATGGGTTGAAAATCACTGATACAATGCTTTAGAATAGACCTCTATATAAAAATACCATTAAGGTAAGGGTCATACCTAGATACATGGTATTGGGAGGTTTGTGATAAAACACACACAAAACATGAATTCTGTTACTTTAGATGTCTGAGATTTTGCTCCTTACGTTTTGTTTTCTTCTAGGATTTTTATAGTTTCGTGACTTACACTTAAGTCTTTTACCCATTTTGAATTTATTCTTGCATATAGTGAAAGTTGGTGGTCTAGTTTTATTTTATTTTTTTTGTATGTACCTTGTCCAATTTTCCCAACACCATTTATTGAAGAGACTGTCTTTAGTCCATTGTATGCTTTTGTATCCTTTGTCAAGTATTAATTGAGCATAATGTCTTGGGTTGATTTCTGGGTTCTCTGTTCTGTTCCATTGATCTATATGCCTGTGCTTGTGCCACTACCAGGCTGTTTTGATTACAGTGGCTTTGTAGTATAACTTGACTGATGAATCTGAGAGGGGAGAGCAGCAGGAAGAGATTAACCAAGGAACTTATATGCATGTATGCATTACCCATGGACATAGAAAATAGGTTGGTGAAGGACTGGGGTGGGGTGGGAGCCCTGTGGAAGGGGGCAATGGGGAAGAAAAGGGGGCAGGGACATCTGTGATGCTCTCAACAATAAAGATTTTTAAAAATCATGAATTTCCAGGGATGTTCTTACTAAAGATGGGGTTTTTGAGGTCCTGAGGACAAGGGGCAGGGCCTGCTCCCTGAGATGTCTTCAGAGCGAGTGGGGGTAAAAAAGTAGGACCAAGAAGGAAAAGGTTTTGTTTTCTCCAGTGCTGGTAGCTCAGATCCAAACACCCAACTACAATTCCCGTCATGCTCCGGGCCTCCCGCGTTTGGCCCCATCCCTCACCCGCTCGTCCCGCTGCGACTCCAGCGAACGCATGCGCGCAAGCAGCTGCGTCCCTTTGCAAGCAGCTGAGGCTGGGCGGAGCTGCCGGAGCTTGTGGGACCGTTTGGCCCTCCGACTGCTCCCCCGCTTCTCTTCGGACCGTTAACCTCGAATGAGGAACAAGCCGGGAGGGAAGGGAGGGGCTGCGGCGGTGCCAGCACAGCCCGCCGGACCAGGGGCCGGGAGCAGCGAGGTCACGTAACTGCTGCTCTGCCGCCTGGCCAGCCCTCCCTGACAGCCCGAGCCCTCCTGGCCGCGCTGCGGCTCCGAAACAGTTACCGGCTCGTAAACAACAGCTGCGCGCGCACCCCGCATCAGCTGGCGCCGGGATCCTGCACCTGCGACCTCCTCCCTCCTCGCCGCCTCCTCTTGCCCAGCCAGTCAGGACCAGCCTGCGAGGCTGTCACCTCTTCTGCTAGGACTCGAAGGAAAAACGGCGAGGGGGTGACTGGCGCCAGGGACCTGGTAGGCAAGAAAAAGTCTCCTAGCGAGGGGGTGGCCTGTCCTGTCACACGCAGGAGAAACCTAGCGAGCGGACCGTGGGCTCGATGGACTAGCAACGACCTGCCACGACCCTGAGCTGCAATCCGAGGTGTCTCGATCCGCTAGCCTCTATTCCCAGATCCCAGGGACCTTTCTGCCAGAAGAGCGGGTGGGCCACCCTCGCAGACCCGAGGCAGGAATCCGCTCTGCCCTGCATCCTCCTCTGCTCACCCTTCTCTTTCTCCTCCGTCCTAGTGTGGAATATTTTTCCCGTTATGCATGCGCACCTCTCCCACCAGACCCAAGTGGATTATCGGCCTCAAAAACCGCGAGCAGCTCTACTACACACACCTCCTCTCAGCCAGACCTGTGGGGTATTCACCTGATATACAACAGGTGGCCGGTGTACATCGTTTTGCAACCTCTCTACTATATTTGCTTCATAAGGGTGGGCCTGTGCGCACTTTGCTCAACTAAAACCGTGAGACATTTACCAGATAAAGAACTAACTACCTCGGCCGAAACCTGGGGGTCGAAGGGAGAATGTCTTCACCTGCTTCGCCAAGATCATGGCACTGAGCCCGCAGCCCTGGATCAGGAGACATAGCTAGCTCTTCATTCTGAAGGAACGAAGTTACACGAGATTGGCATCGTTTTGTCTTTTTTTTTTTTTTTTTTTCTTAAATATTTTTCAGCTACTGGTAGTGCACTTTCTAGGACAGTCTGCTTGGATTCTGGGTATACAGATTCTTATTTGGGGCTCTTTGTGTGGTGTAAATCAAGGTAACTGAGGTTTAATTTATCTTTTCTATTTTTGTGATCAAAAGCAGTTAACGTTGGAGGAAGGATTTTGCGGGGTTTTCCTTTTTGCCCTTATAAAGGAAAAGAAAAATGCATCCTCCAGAAAGCACCACCAAGATGGCTTCAGTTCGGTTCATGGTGACACCAACAAAGATAGATGATATTCCAGGTTTGTCAGACACCAGTCCAGACCTCAGCTCCCGATCCAGTTCCCGAGTAAGATTTAGCTCCCGGGAGAGTGTGCCCGAAACGAGCCGTAGTGAACCTATGAGTGAGATGTCTGGAGCCACCACTTCGCTGGCAACTGTGGCACTGGATCCAGCCAGTGACCGGACTTCTAACCCCCAGGATGTTACTGAGGGTAAGTAGAAACACAGATGACAGGATTCTTTCTTTACTGGTTTATTTACTAAGGCTGACTTCCTTCTAGGAGATCGTTGTCCTGTTATATAGAAATCAGGATGAGGTACCTCTTTTTGAGATGTTTAGAAACAATTTGAAATAATGGTTAGCATAGTGGTTCTCCGCAGTGGTAATTTGGCATGTGGGAAGATATATGGTAAGAAGAAAAGTAGATGTGTATTTTGACTTCCTCATTTTTGTCTCCTGAAAATTGAAATGGGTATTTTGGTTAAGGATGGATGGCAAAGAATTTAATAGTTTTTCAGCATAGAGAACCCTAAATTGTAAAATTTAATGGAAAGCCAGCTTTGAGGCTCTTTTACAGTCTGCTTTTAAGGCCACTTACAAGTAGTTATTGATCATGTATTAGTTGTTGGCTTTTCTACAAAGACATGAGATATTGTACCACAGAATTCTTTTTTAAAAATTTATGTTTTGCGGACAGTGGCTCAAGTAGCTAAGCTCACTCTGGGTGAGGCTGGGGAGATATAGTGTGCTATCCTGTTGAATAGAGAAGTTCTAAAGAGGCTTTCCGGGCCTGATTCCCATGTCATGTTTTCACTTTGAACTTGAAGTGAGATGTATTGGGTATTGAGCCTTTGTAGTCAGGAAGTAGCACACAAGCCACTTCCGACTTAGATTGACCACTGCAGATTTTTAGCTTCCTGAACCAGTTTGTGTTGGCTAGCTTGGAAGTTTTCATTGGATTTAGTGGGAAGAGGTGATGAAGAGAGAGATGAATGGAGAGATCATAACATTTTTAGGACTCTAAAGTTTGAGAACTGTACTGCTTTATATATTTAGTTTTATAATCTTTATATATTTAGTCCTGTATTCTAATGTAGCTATGTCTGGTAGTGAAAATTTCTTGTAAGAATCTTGTAAGATTTGAAAACCATAGCTTCAACCACTGACTTAGGAAAGCGAGGCTGACTTACCATTTTCTAGTGTCAGGACATATTGTTCCTCCTAAACTAAAGGGTGCAGAAAACCAGAATGATTTTAGTTCCTTATTTCTGTTTGTACTTTTAAATGTCTGAAGACAAGGCAGATTTGGTAAAGTTTATAGTCCTAGAATTCACTTATCCTCAACTAATTATTTTTATTTAATAGAGATTTTACAGGTTGGTTCTTGGACTTAACTATTTTCAACTTGACAAACTTTACACTGTGTACCACAGTGTTAAAATTACATTATGAAATAAAAAAGAATTCTTTTTCCTCCACATTAAGTCTAAATTATAGTTTTAGTTATTTATTATACTGTATTTAGGTTGTAAAAATACCAGGGAAAGATTCTAACAGTGTTAAATTTTTTTATTGCTGTAATTATTATTAGATAATTTATGGTTAAGTGTTGTTAGACTTGTGGCTTATGTACAGGAAATTGTATTTGTATTTTGTTTTTAAAAGTGAGCTTGTTTCCTAAATGTGTTAGCTTTGCAGAACCAGATTCTTGCCCAGGCTGCTGTCTTACCTGTAAGCATATAGTCCAGAGTGGTATGGTTTTATACTATAAAACTGGAGACATGTCTGGGTGAAATCTATGTTGTTTAGGTGTGCACAGAAGTTACAGCTTGGCTCTATATCTAGCACATTCCTTAATGTTTAAATTCTCTCTGGTACCAGATGAAAGGGAAATTAGCTGTCCAGCCATTGGATTACACTTTCCCCGTATTCTCAGGAAACTAGTTTCCTACTTTCCCAATATCCTACGTTTTCTCTCTCTCTCTCTCTCTCTCTCTCTCTCTCTCTCTCCCCCCCCCTCTCTCTCTCTATATATATATATAATTTTTTTTTTAATTCTTATGATGACTGTCATCCTGTGACATACTTTTCCCACCACATACTTTTCCCACCATTAAAGGGAACTGGTTAGAAATATAATTATTTCACCTTTGGCTTCGTAATGCCCTTGTTAGACGTAGGTCTTCAAAGGATGCTATTGTCAAGGAAATCAAGAGCATATGTAATCCACATTTGTCTCTGGGCTGAAGTTAGTATAGGACAACTACTACTTCCTTTTCTACAGTTATCTCTATCTTTAAACTCATAGTGTATTTCAGAATTGTGTTTGCTATTTTAAGATTTAGAAATCTGATTTTTTTTTGGGGGGGGTGCCCTTTCTACACATCCTGCTGTGGTTGAGATATTGGTATGCTTCTCAGTCTTTCCCCCACAATCCCTGTGTCCCCATGTTTCTTCCTGTAGAGAAAGCTTACTACCCTAAGTTTTTTTTCTTATTATGTACCTTTTACTCATATCACATTGCACAACCAAGGCAGGGGTGGCACATGAAGTCTTAATTACTTATTTCTGTTTTAATTTTTTCTACTGTTGGCCTTTTGAAAGTAGATAATTATCTTTCTTTTAACAAAGTATTTATTGTTCTCCTTTCATTGCATCAGGGGTCCATTAGAATTTATGGAACTGTCCAGTTGGTAAATAAAAGCAAGACTATTATTAGCACTGTATTTGCTTATGCATGAAGAATGTCTTAAAGATATACAGAAGGAACTGTTGAGAAGTGGATATCTCTGGAGAGTTTGAAAATGGAGTGGAGCCCAGGCCTATTTGGCTCAGCAATTAGAGCATTAGCCCATGGGCCAAGGAGTCTTGGGTTCAATTCCGGTCAAGGGCACATACCTCGGTTGTGGTTGTCTCTGGCCCTGATCAGGGTCATGCAGTAGGCAACCAATTGATGTGTCTCTTGCATCTATGTTTCTCTCTCTCTTTCTCCCTCTCTCCCTCCACTCTGTCTGAAGATAAATGGAAAAATGGCCTCAGTGAGGATTTTAAAAAAAGAAAATAGAGTGGAGCGTGGGAATTTTTCTTTATCTAAACAATTTAGAAGGACATGTACAGTTTGTTTTTTTAAAATATGTTTATATTGCCCTGGCCAGTTTGGCTCAGTGGTTAGAGCATCGGCCTGCGGTCCCGAGACACCCGGGTTTGGTTCCCACTAAGGGCACATACCTCGGTTGCAGTTTGTCCCCAGCCCTGGTTGGTCGTGCAGGTGGCAGCCACTCAATGTGTCCCTTTCACATCGCTGTTTCTCTGTCTCTCTCTCTTCCTCTCTCTCCCTCCCACTCTACCTGAACAAAAAATGGAAAAATGTCCTTGGGTGAGGATAAAAATATATATAAATATATGTTTTTATTGATTTTAGAGAGAGGAAGGGAGAAGGAGACAGAGAGAGAAACATCAGTGAGAGAGAAACATCAATAATGATCTATCGGCTGCCTCCTGCACAACCACTACTGGTGATTGAGCCGAAACCTGGGCATGTGCCCTGACCTGGAATCGAACTGGTGAGCACTTGATGTATGGATCGACAGACACCCTGGCAGGCATGTACAATTTTTTTTAAAGAGTGTATCACTTTTATAATAAATTTTAAGAAGCATAGCATGTTAGGAAACTCAGATAATCAAGAATGGAATTCTGGTCAAACCTCATTTTAATGAATGAGGAAACTAAGGCTTACAGAGATGGTTATTTTGTAGATTACAGTGTGGGAAAGCCAAGAACGAAGTGCAGACCTCCTAGCATTTATGCAGTGCTTTCCGTATACATCATTTTGCCTCTGCTAGAATGGTTATTACATTTGCTTCATAACCATTTATCTTACTTTTTTTTTTAAATCCTCACCTGAGGATTTTTCTCTGTTTATCTTCAGATAGAGTGGGAGGGAGAGAAAGGGAAAGAGAGAGAAATATCCATGTGAGAGGGATGACGCTTCGACTGGTTGCCTCCTGCACGACCCCAACAAGGGCCGGTGACAAACCACAAGTGAGGTATGTGTCCTTGACCTGAATTGAACCCAAGACTCATTGGTCCCTGGGCCAAAGCTCTACCACTCAGCCAAACCAGGCAGAGCCTTTTGATTATCTTAAATGATAGTTAAAATAATAATACCAAAAAAGAGAACAGAACATATTTTTATATGTCTTATACAGGCTGTAATACATTTCAACCTTTTACTATTCAATAAAGGCTCCAATATGTGTGAAGCACTCTGGTAGGAATTATAAGAAATATAGGGTTTCCCGCCTTGGCTGGTTTGGCTCAGCGGTTAGAGTGTTGGCCCGTGGACCAGAGAGTTCCGGGTTCAGTTCCTGCTAAGGGCATGTACCTCAGTTGCAGTTTGTCCCTGGCCCTGGTTGGGTCGTGTGGGTGGCAGCCACTCGATGTGTCCCTTTCAAGTCGATGTTTCTCTCTCTCTCTTTCTCTCTCTCCCTACCACTCTGAACAAAAAATGAAAAAATGTCCTCAAGTGAGGATAAACAAAAAGAAAGAAAAATACAGTAAAGGAAAGTGATGAACGGGTGAAATGGAGACACTAACAGACTGGAGGAATTGATGAGGTAAAGTGGTTGTGGAAGAAGTAAAAGGATCAAAGACTGTAGTCAGACAGTTGCACGTGGAAGTTCATGGTTTCAGGGGAGAAGCAGTTCCAGTGTTAACATGATGTGTTGTGCAGCCTTGGGAGTGGGTTTCTGAAGTGGAGTACAAGACAGAGCCAGTTGCGTCAAGAAGCTCTTTGTTTACCAACTTTGAGACTGGCTGTTACCAAGTTTTTATGGAGCAGTGTTAGGTGGTAGAGATACAAAAATAATTATGGCAAGTCCCTTCTTCAAGGAGTCACCCTCTCTGATTCTTTTTCTAATTCAACCCCATACCAAAAGCAATAGATTAGTTTTTTATGTCCCTATATCACTTACACAGACTGTTACTATAGCTGCACCAAAATTTCACTTAATTTTGTTTTGTTTACATGTTATCTTTCTCAGTTCCGTTGTAAAGTTCTCTTGAGGACAAGGACAAACGTTGTTCTTTTATCTTCAGCATCTAGAATAATGGTGATGCCACATAACTTGTACTCAATAAATATATACTGAGTTGAAGATCTAGAGTAAAAAAAAAGAGAAATATAAACAAAAATTAAAAAACAGCCCT